AAAAAAAAAAATATTCAATTCATTCTATTGAAATTTTTTTTATAATTCTGAATTTATCTACTATTCATTTCGTAATATAATGTGCTCCACTATAAGAACATCAGAGAGATTTGCAATTTTTCAAGCAAGAAGATCCAAAGCCATCGAATTATACCAATATTGGATTAGTCAGCCATTGACCAATCAGGTGAGTTCTTGGTGAAGCTTTTGAAAACGATATTCTGAAGCTATTTTGCTTTCAATTTGAGCAAGGCTGACATCTCTAGCTTGTTGCGGTTGAGAGTAATAAGATTTTTTCTGACATTACGGATTTCAGACAATAGACCTGTCATTATCCAGAAAAATAATTAATATGTCTAACATGCTACAATTAGCCAACGTATAACGAAAGAGTCGAAATTTCGGACGTATTGACATAATAGCATCAACTTATTTCGAATCAAAAAACAAGTATTTGATTTATTGCTGTGTTGTTTCTATTCTAAGAGACAACTAGGGCACAAGCATGTTTTTCATACCTTTCATATACAACAGAAAATTCCGATGTTATTATTTGAGAATAGGCGTCATCAAAAAATCTGAAACTAATTTTGTTCTCTCAACGCCTATTTTTGCCAGTCCTACAAAAAATATTTTAAGAAAAATCAATTGAATGGTAATTAGTCCATAAAAAAAACCAAAACATCGTCAATTAGTACTGATACTCTACTTATTCTAATTACAAAATTGGATTCTTCGAATTGAAGAAGATCTGATGAATAGAGGATTTTTTATTTAAGAATACGAAAAGAATTGTATCAAGATTTATTATAAACCGTTCATACTCGTTTAACATCGATTTTAACATTATGTTTTAATGGTGTTTGCATATCATTAATATACAATAAGTGACCGTTATAATTCGTAATTCGTACTTGCATTGTACGACCACCATAACCTGGTCCAGCTCGTGACTTATCATAATAGAATTGAAATCGAATTGGAAATCGTTGACCAGCCTGTAATCGTATTTTCTGTCGTCCTAATAAAATACTTGGTGCATCCATTAATGAAGCATTGACGACTGAAACTTCTAATATTTCATTTCCATGAAATACATCAGCAGAATTTCTAGATGAGACGACTTTACCACTTACTATTTCCCACTGAGGATGGCCACCAATGTTTGTTTGATAACCTGATCTTGTTCTTGTATGGCCAATTCCAAATGCAGATCTATGATTTCTTTGAAACATTTTAAATACTATAATATTGAATTTTGATTTATTGATAATTAATAATGCAGAAAAAAACTGAATCGCCAAACTTCATATAAATACGAAAAGGAAAAAGCAACGAACCAGAACAAATATGAATAAATGTGGTTGTTTTCAAGGTGACGTATTTTATCTAACGTGATTCATATTTCGTTCTATAATTATAAACCTTCATAATATACGTTAATTATGATTTAAAGAATGTTGTAGAGCAGTCGTATTCTCCTACGCTACCTTGGTTGATTACTCATTCTATCATACAACCATCAATGTTTTTTAACCGATTTTTTGAATTTTCTTAAAAAAGTATTGAACTTTAGCTGAAATGTTTGTTTCCACTCATGTTGCACGTTTGATTAAGTGCAGGGCTAGCCTAGCCGAAGCGGGTGCTTAAGATTTTGACAACCTCTAATAATTGGAATTTCTTCTTATTTTTATCAGTTCTCTTTCTTGCAGGTATATTTTATACTTAAAAATGTGCAGTATATTCAGTCGATATATAATAACCAACTAGAAATCGATGGTTATTTTAAATAAACTATTTTGAAAGTAAATATTTGTACTAACTTCTGTGATCAATGGACGAAAATTGCAGCGCTATGTAACTTAAAATCAAGCACTTAGTGATCGAGTCCTGTAACCAAATTTGCCTAGTTCCGATTGAAACCAACTGTAACTGAATAGAGACTATTTGAAACTTCCACTAACCATGCACATACACTCTTGATAACGGATGGTTAAACTTTTGAAAAAGCTTGTAGCATGCAGTATTAATCTGAATGATACTGCCAATATATGAAGAAAAAAAAAGTTTTCGTTTTGAAATCTTTATATCATAGTTTTCTTTTCATATAGCTAAACAAAAAGCAAATACTATTTTTACGATTCAGAAAATATAAACAAAACGATTTAGATGAACTTGTAATTTATACGTCTATAAACACACATGTTTATATAGTTTATTTATTTAATAATCATTAGTATTGAACTCTAAAAAAATTTATTCTACCAATAAAAAGTTCATAGTTTTCATGTTACACAATAAACTTGACATGGTTTTCGATCTATGAACAAATTAAAAACATTGACCAATAGATACATAGGAACTGCACCCAAGAATAATCCTAACTGGACAGTGATACCAAAGTAAAACATACCCTTTTCTTCAGACCATTCACCTTTAATAAAATTGCCTGTTGTTATTCGTAGATAAGCAATGATTACAGTCATTAAAAACCAAATAACTAACATAATCAAAGCTCCATGTAATGTATCTGCCCACCATGGACATGGACTTTGTGTAGCAATAATTATAATAAAAACAGCTAAAATAGATCCAATTATTGTTCCTATAATAGTTATAAAAACTGATAAAGTTGCCCATTTTACACTGACTAATAATGCAAGAGAATATGACAGAGGATTGAGTAAACAAAAATAGTAAAATACTCTTTGTCCATAAGGCAATAGACTGTACGTAGATAGGGAAGGTAAAATGCCGTATAATACGAATGAGTTATAAGTATTAATACATAGAAGACAAATAAATGAGCTTGTAGCTATGTGTTTGACAGGTTTTGATGGATTAAATAGTTCGACTACAGGAACCATAGGAGAATTTTCACCAGCATCTGATGTTGTTTTTGTTGTACTATCATTGAGTTTTGTCTACAAAAATAGATTAATCGATCAGTATCTAAAGCTTTATTTCACTTTAATTCAAAGATAGAGAAGAACGAAAAAAAAATCTGAGTAGAATACATCAAATTTGCTAGTACCTCTTTTTTTTTGTTAGATAAGTTTTTTTGCCACACTGATCATAACTTGAGATTTAAGAAAAAAAAGTAGTTAATAATATGTCGATTAACAACAATAGAAATGGTCTCTATTTGGAAAGCTTTATAATACTCGGAGTTGACCTTCAACAGCATATGGGAAAAGGTTTTTATTTTTGTATTCTTCTTATTTAAGCTTCTACACAGTCAAAATCGATCTCATTAAAAAGTTTCAGAATATGTTAGAGCTGTAGTGAAAAGGCGATGATAGAGTTTTCAAGTCTAGGAGTGGATGTGCATTGTTTTCTACGGCCAATTAGAACCTTTATCCATCTTTATTTCGATTCTTCCGATGAAAATTCACTTTTTGCAAGTGCGAACTATAGCTGACTTTAAAAACATGAAAGCAGCATTTACTTAATGCTTATTGAGATTTAACTTTTCAAACTTAAATTACCGGCTCTGTAGCATCAGCTAATGAGACTATATTTGTCCATCGCAATAGAACAAATGCAATAAGTGATGCAATAATAATACTTGCAATAAGAAGCATATAAATAGTAACACTAAAACGTGGCTGAGTAAAAATAGGTTCCAATGTAGTACCATTATTACTTTTAACACAAATTGCTTCACCACCACTGCCTTGTGCTAATAACAATAATGTAGGGATTACACCTGTAAGTCCTTCGCCTAAAAATACTGCTGTTAAATATCGAATACGAAATCGTTTCATATAATCAAAGAAGACAAGTGATGATGTACTATCAAGCATGCATAGAGTGAAAGCAGATCCAATCAACCATAAACTTCGTTCACGACCAAATAAATATGTAGTTTTTTGCCAGGAGAAAGCCAAGACACAACATGAAACAATACCAATAATTATAATAATATAAATATAAGGAATTTCAGAAAAACGTTTTCCTTGATACCATCGTAAAATTGCGACTACAGCAGGCATGATATTAGCGGCACAAAGACACAAACCAATCACTGATGGTATTGCCCAGCCTTCAGGTATAAATGAAATCATTATTGGTAATTCAACAAATAAACCTTGCAAATCAATCCATGCACTCAAATTCATAATAACAATCAATATAAAACATATTATTTGTGCATATTTCCTAGAACACAAACTGTTTCATATGATTTGATACTAATGAAATATAAATCTATCAACTTTTTCGATTGTATATGAACATTTTGATGGTTACCATCGTATGCATTAATCGAATCAACTTGAGTATCAAATTTCATGTCACTGACGGTTGCTTAAGAATAAAAACTGCGAGACCATATATCTTATTGACTGTAAGAGAAACGAAAAAAAAGAGTTTGAAGCTTCGAGTAAATATAGTATCACATATTATTTGCCTTATCTTTTACTTTTTGTCCTTGCAGAAAATGAAAACATACAGTGTCAGCATGATCAACAGAAAAAAAAGGATAGAATTTGAGATTATAATTTTTTCAAAAACAAGATCTAAATGTTGCTAAATATAATCTGCTTGTATTGATCAATGTATTTTGATATATCTCTGTTCTTTATTACAATAATTTTTATATGTTTCACATGCTTAAATTGATAAGAAAGCGGAGTTTCAGGTCTTTCTGAGCGAAGCCACAACATTCTGTTAAAAAGTTTGGTAAAAATATAGCATCTCGATGATAATAAACTATTAATCCGAACTTTTGTCATATCGCTATAGGTATCTTCTATTTTTGATCAGAGATATAGATAAGCTTTTTTTCACATTTGTTACCGATTAGAATTTGTTTATGAATGATAACATAATCAATTCATTTGGTTGAATTATAGCGATTATATTCAATATTTTGTTTGATAAAACGAGTTTTGAATCGTTCTTATTTTATTTTCGATGATTCAATGATCTTTAACAATTTTTCTTCTATATTATTGCTACTTCCAAAAGTCAAGTCTTTGTAAAGTTCATCTAGTAAATAACACTAAAATTTGTGGTCTCAAAGTCTTTTTTAATCTTACAAAAAAAGATTTTAAGAAAAACTAATTGAATAATAGGTAATTTATAAACAATTCAAAATATCATCATCTACCATTTTTATGGAAAATGTAATGAATAGAGATCGTCAAATGCATAGATGATTTTTCTACTGAATATTAGGAAGAGAATAATAATAAGATGGTTCGTAAATTATTCCTATTAGTTTAACATCAATTTTGACATCGTGTGTTAATGGTATACGAATATCATTAACATATAATAATTGACCATTGGTATTCGTAATACTTACTTGCATTGCACGACCATCAGGACCTCATCCTGCTTGTGATTCATCATAATAGAATTGAAATCGAATTGAACATTGTTGACCAGGTTCTAACCATAGGTCCTATTGTATTAACAAAATACTTGGCACATCCATTAATGATCCATCGATAGAATTTCTAGATCACATGATTTTGCCACTTACTATCTTTCATTGAAAATGATTACCCAGTATTGTTTTGATGACCTAAACTCGTGTTTGTATTACTAAATGCATATGGAAATCCATAATTACGCTGAAATATTTTAAATACTAGAATATTTTCCTTTGATTTATTGATAATGAATAATACAAAAAATAAGAATCGGCCAACTTCATATAAACACGAAAAGCAGAAAGCGACGAACCGAAACAATATGAAAAAAATATAATTATCTTCTAGGTGACACGTTGTATTTAATGTGACTCATATTTCGTTCTGTAATTATAATGTTCTTCAGTATACGTCATTTATGATTAAAAGAATGTTGTAGAGCAATCGTATTCTCCCACGTTACTCTTGTTAATTATTCATTTTATCATTTAGCCATCAACTCAAAATTATTGAAATCCAAGGTAAGAAGAAAGCTAAACAAAAGGTCATCAAGTCTTACCATGTTTTGATTTTCTGTTTTGGAAATGAAGGAAAATATTTTTAAATATGTTGTATTGTTATAAGTTACTTATTTCATGTTTTAAATAAAACTTTAGATCGTAGTTTTAGAAAAAAGTTTTAAAGCACATTATCATTTAACTATTTGAATTTATTAACTTGGCTTCGAAAATGAATGACTTAATAGAACTAGTGAACGTATTGATTGTATGCATTATTTCAACCCTGATGAATAAAAACAAGAACTATTGCTAAATTTGCATTGAATTGCCAATGAAATAGACCATGAGATTCATTTCTTAGATCAATTTCTTGTAAACTCTTTAGAAAAATATTAGATCTCAACTGAAAGGTTTGTTATCATTGATTTTACTACTTGGATTATTCTCAAGGCTCCCTTGAACTGAGTCTGTGGTTAAGAGTTTGACTGTCTCTAATAATTGGAATTTTTGCTTTTTTTGGTATGGAACTCACGTATATTTTCGAAGAAAATAATGAGTATAAGTTGAGAACGACCGCCATCAAACTGCTAAGAATATTTTAAAGCTTTCGTCAAAATTTGAATGACTACATTTTTTTAAATAGTACAGTTTGTAATTTTGTGTCAGGATAAAAATGTACATACTTGTTCATGTTTTCTTGTATTCTATAGTCAAAAACGAACTAAATTAATGATAAATTATCTCTTGTGTAAACCGTAATTTTTCTTCAAAATTTTCAACTGTATAGAATTGATATAGAAAAATTCTGAAATTATTGAAAACATTTTATTGCAATATGAAATACAAAGAGAAAAATATTCAAAAATTGATTACACGAAAAACCTTTCTATCATTATTCAATAATGTTGAAGGTTTCTGTTTAAAAAAAAAGACTTCTATTGAAAGACGTTTTCTTTAACTATATGACTTTTTATGTTGTAAAGCTCGTTGTTTATACTCCTCTGCACTTTTAAAACATAGTGTCGCTTGTTCCCGTAATTTTTTTTGTAAATCGTTCCATAAACGTTCTAAAAGATCGTCACCATGATCAAATATCATCATTTTATCACAATAATCCATTCCCCATTCCGCATAAGCAGAAACTGATCCGCAAAAAAGGAAGATCTGTACAATGTTTGAGGATTCATAGATTTTTGGAACGGCTTCTTTAGCAAACGAACCCGAAACAATAAGATAAATAGGTTCATTTGGATGAGATTGAACATATTGAATGCAACTAGTTACATCTGTAAATGTTTGCGCATCGCCAAGTTTAGTACGAAAACTGCTCATTGGATCTGACGCATTGGCATCAAGCCAAAGAATGTTGTATTGCAACATTATTGTTTAATTTGTTGGGCTTACTTTTCTTTAATTGAAGAAACTATAATAAATATCTGAAGATTCTCATACATATATATGACTTGGAACAATCATACTTTACAAAATATCCTCCCACCCATTACATTTCATCTTATTTGACCTGTAAATCACGTGCCGTCACAATGGACAAAATATTTTTCATTATAATGCTTTTTTTCTCAAGTAAACAGAATGAGTAGGGATGGAAAAAAAAACATGCGTTATTCACGATCACTACTCACTAAATAAAGAGGCGTTACGGGGGAGAATACATACGTCAGTGCTTACGCTGATTTTTTTTTTTCATACATTAATGTATTCCTTCAAGTTTCTAAATACTTCTCTGTAATTTGCCATAGGCCGTAGTAAGTTCCTATTTTTTTGTATACTTCAAAACTACAGAAATATGTCTTTTAGTCTATTAAAATTCAAACGATCAGATTTATCTTTTATTTGACAATATCAATAAAATAACTTTGAGATTTACGGATCTTATGACAGCAATAGAAACTTCTTCATTTTGTTTCTCATGTAGTAACATATTTTCATAAGATTTATCACATCAAATCATGACTTGACAAACCTAGTGTATTTTAAAAATATAAGGAATGTTAGCTATTTAGAATTTTTTAAAATCCTAAATACTAAAATAAATAGCATTTTTGTTTATATGATGATATCACAAAAGAATTACAACAAGAGTAACAATCCATACAATCTGAATGATGTATATCAATGCATAATTGTATAAAGTAAGAAGTTTTCAAAATAGTCATATTCTTTCATGAACATGAATTGATTTTAAATTTCAAAAAGTGAGTTTTATGAAAGTGTTCCAATATTTTTGAGCATCGTTTTATTATTTTCATTAATTGAAATCAAGATATTTAAACAGAAGATTAGAGCTTTGTAAAGCATTAATAAAGTTTTCTCATATTAACTTTATTTTAAGATAATTAATAATAAGATTTTAAGAAAACATCAATATCATAATATGTGACAAAGATTTTTTACAGTATACATTGTTTGAAAAGAAAATCAAATATGAAACAAATGAAAAACAATTTTCATAATGATCAAATATTCATTTGTGTAGAATGAAGTAATATGTTTGTCTTTGGTTCTACTCTTTTTTAATATTGTGCCACATTCGCATGCGCATAACACTTATGTTTTTAATTAAATGAAAAAAAAACTATCACGAGAAAAATATTGCTTTCAACTTGCATATCAACATCAACCTCTGTGTGTTGAGATACAGAATTTGTTTTTTTTTCCCTATATATCATGCATTTGATCAAATATAATCAATATGACATTCACATATTGAAACATATACAAACCAATGCGGTATGCATGCCTATTTGATCCAAATCCCAGTTTTTTTTTCGTTATTCAAACTAAATAACTAAGTACGTGGGCGGCGATGCCGAAAAAAGTCCATTAGGAGAAAGTGTAGGTAGCAAAGAGGTAATTTCTCATCATGTGGAAAAAATAGGTTATAACACCAACAATTATACGATGCATAAAATCATATTTATTATAATTGCTGAATAAATAATATTTTATAAAGATTAATACATACAATACTGCCATATATCGTACAGGACGAATGTTATTAGTATTAATGACAAAAGTGAGCAAGAAAGAATCTCTAATTTAAGAGATTATATATTAGTCACGAATGCTGTTGTGAAGGAATGTTCAAATAGAAAAAAATTCACCATTTTTGATATTCTCTCTATACTTGTAACTCTAGAACTCTATATTTATGGGCTTATAGATAAGAAATTAAACAAAAAATAATCATACTACTGCATCTTTAACAGTGAAAACTATACATGTAGAAACGATATCAAAAATAGTGAACTGTTTCTAATTGGATGTTGCTGGTTTTACGTGAGTGATTTAATGGCAAGAAAAAGTTTTGTTTGTGTTTTTGATATTGTGCTAGTCGAATTTTACCATAATTAATATAATCAAATGTTGATGTAGGTTTTGTAAGTAATCCTTGTAAAAAAGCCCATAAAGCCCAATATAAATGTATTGGTGCAATTAATAAACCACATAGATCACATAAATGTTCTAATTCATTATCAATTGGTTTGAGACGATCATAAATAATAT